GAGAAGGTGGCAGAAGGTCAACAACTCTCCGATGAACATTTAGAGGAATCGAACAAACAAGGCTCATGCATAAAGACTGATTCAAAACTTTGCAAGATCCTATTGAATCCGACTTAGCGGCTGCAGAGTCTGAGAATCCAATAGTTTCCGAAAAAGAGCTGGCTAACGAATCTGAAAATCTCATCCAAGATTCACTTCAATCAGATGCTCAAAGGGAAGCTGAAAGTTCTAGCAAGGAGTTAGCCGAAGGATCTGACGAAGCTGTAAAACAGCAGGAATGGAAGCAGGTCGTCAAGAAAAGTTGTAAAAACAAGCGCAGGACGGATTGGTACGAGTAGCATCTATCCGCACCAAGGCTGGCATACTCAGGGGACCCCTGGTTAGGCTGGCGTTGCTGCCTGTTCCCCACGGCTTGCTTTGATGGTTCCCATCAACTCGGGGAGAATGTTGGAGTTTATTAATCTATTTTTTCTATTATTCTGTTATATTGTTTTTAATTTGATTTGACCACGGACGTCTGGTCACATGTGTATTTGAAGATGTATATATTGTGATGTAAAATAAAGTAGAAGAGTGCTGGCCAATTAGTCTCAACAACAACAACAACAAGTAGAAGAGTCACCAGTGCGTCGTGTCGGCCTCATCCTTCTGAGTTGGTACACGTATTCCCGTGTGCAAAGTACCGCATCCTCCCGAGATAAGAGCCTCCCTTATCCTTAGGTCGACGGCATTCGGATCTTCCCTCAAGGAGAACAGAATACAGTCCTCTAAAGACGGTGGAGTAAGGGATAACAGGTTAGTGCCTTTTAAGTGGAACCCCTTCTCCAACCCAGGTCAAACAACATCCTAATGGGATGATAGGGCACAATTTGGATTATAGATTATAAACACAAGATAATAAGATCCAAATCTAAATAAATAAATAGAGTGTGACGTTTCGGTAACAGCATTGTTACCATCTTCAGACAAAAGTACTGAATGTATGTACTTGTATGTAATTTAGTACTTTTGTCTGAAGATGGAAACAACGTTGTTACAGAAACAATCACACACTATTTATTTATTTGGATTTGATCTTATTACCTTGTGTTTATCCTAATGGGATGGTAAACACCAAAAAGTGTGACAGAATGAAAGCCGGGATAAACTTTTGACTTCATTCTTGTAACAGTCTTCTCTTCTCTTGTCCTTGGGGGGTGGAATTGCTCCAAAAGGTGAAAGACCTTAAGTTATTCAGTCAACTGGCTTAGATGAAAGAAGTTACTAGCAAACCACTTCTGAAGTTATATAACAAGATGTTTGTGTTTTAATAATAACAAAAAAAAACACAATAAGAGAAAAGGAAATTTAAAAAAACAAGGTAGTTTTTTTTTATTATTATTATTTAAAAATGATCCCAAGTTAAATAGAGTTTAGATATATATATAAAATTGACTCATTCCTTTTTTTACTTTTTTTTTTCAGAACACAAAAGAAATTTTTTTTTTTTAAGTATTTTTTTCCAAAAAATGTGTGCATGATTAATTAATTAAAAAAAACTACATGTTTATTGCAGATGTTTCCGATATATATATTTCAATCATCAATAAAAAACAAAGTATAAAGACAACATAAAAAATATATATATTTTTTTTAATATACAGTAAAACCCCTCTATAGTGAACCCTAATGGGACTGAACCTTTGGTTGACTATAGCCATGGTTTGTTATAGCCATAATTTACTGTATTATAAAATTAAAAATGTGGGATTATTTCAGGTTTGTTATATGGGAAGGTTCACTATATCCCAGAGGTTTGTTTAACCACACCAGGTTTGTTATATTGAGGTTTTACTGTATTAATAATGAGATACGCAAAAAAATGGGTAAAGAAAACATACTTTTTGAAGAAAAAGGAAAAAAAATTAAGTTTCAAACTCACTATAGATTTGTATATAAACACAGAAGTATATAAAGGGCAGTGTCTTTTGATCATTTTGAATGGAGCAGATTTTTTAAATAATAAATAAATAATGATAAATAAGTGCTTCAATACATATTTTTAATAATAAAATCTTGTAGTCGCCAACTTCTACCCATCATGATTATCATGGCCTGTATCACGTGTACTAGGGATAATAATAAAAAAAAAAAAATTTTTTTTTCTTATCCTTTTATTAGTCTAAATTAGACAAGATCTTGGAGGTCGTGCTCATAAAGAAGTTCAAGAACTCTTTTTGGTTCTCTGTACAGGGATCCTTTGTCCTTTCCAATACAATTTAGTAAATGTTGGGGAGTGGCCTCTTCGGTTTTGCACCTAGTGCACATGGGGAAGCTATTGGCTCCCTCTTTATAAGGCTTAGATAACTTCAGACTTTATAACCATATATTGAGGAGCATGGACTCATGGAATTTGTGTAAACTTTGCACAAAGGGGGGATAAGAAACAACAACAAAGATGTTAATACCAAATTGCTATAGTAAAGGAGTTTGTTATAGTGAATTTCCAGTGAATTTAAGGTTTTAACACAAGTTAATATTGTAACAAGATATTTATATATTATGAACAGTTTATTCATTTTCGTAAGCTTGCCAAATCTGAAATAATTACTAATCAACGATTAGTTGATATTTATTCCGATAGATGGCGCAAGCCACCAGCAACTTTTTAGTTCTACAATCAATTCTTTATCATAATTTAACAACCTGATTGCAGTAAAATTTTACTTTTGTACTATTTTTTTTCTCACAAAATTATGTGTTACCGTTAAAAGTAAGGCCATTATAAGTAAACAGTTGGGTCTAATTTCAATGTCAGGGATGACAGCAAAGATGTCTGCTCTATCTCCGTGTTATAAAGAGTTTGTCTGAAGTAAAGTCAAACTGCCACAATATCAATGACAGACATCTAACCATTATGAAGTTTCCAAACTCCACCTTTGCCCGTCCCAAGCCCGGACGAAAAAGGAGGAGGGGGAGCAGTAACAAGCTCGGTAAAAAACCTGGGCTCAGCTGGCCTGGCTGATAGTACCTTCCAAGGGCTCTTAATCCAGAGATACAGGATGAGCAGTGTGTGTACTCCATGTTAGGAGCAGCTGCACATGGCATCTGTTCCTCCTGTCAGAGGCGGCCATTTCTTTTGGAGCTAAGTCGGCCTGCCACTGAGTAGTGCTCCCAGTCTTAATGACAAAGGTAGACGCATTCTACTTCACCCAATCATGATGGTTGTCAATTTCAAGTTTTACAAGCTTGACACCATAATATGATTGAGTAGAGATAAGAAAGAAGATGAAGTTTCCATCACCTTCTGTGAATTCAACCAAATTATCATAGGCTAGGATAACAACAAAGTTTATGATGGATATGGCCCATATATAACTGGAAGCTGTCACTTACAAACAATAGGTACAATTTGGATTATGGATAGAATACATAGAAGAAATGACACAAAATTATTATTATTTTTTTTTCCAAATATCAAAACTGATTAGAATATATACTCCTCGATTTATCTTTAATTCAAATTATGCAAATTTTATGGAAAAAAAAACATGATAAAAGAATTATTTTAAAAAAAAATTATTTTTTTTTTTAGTCTAAAAGAAATTTATTAAATATATATTTATATGGCGCGCTCTGCCTTCTGTAAAGCACATGTTGCTCCTGGTCAGGATATGCCATTTTTATGTTTGATATATTCATATTTTAAAAAGCATAGCTAAATCTGTGAAAGAATTTTTTCAATATAATTTTTATAAAAATGAAAGATCACATATCAAAAATATTGCTTTAATCCTACCCAAAAAAAGAAAAGAATTGGAAAATGAATAGAAGTAGAAAGACAAAAAAAGTTTCCACTTTAAATTTGCTCCATTCCATATGATCTTAGGAAATATTGCACAGTTATAAAGAGAGAGAGATTAAAAAAAGATATAATAAGCTATATGATTGATTGAGCTATACAATATATATATATGACTAGAAATCTTTTAAGAAAAAAATAATGGAATGCTATAAAAACAACTAGAGCAGAGCAAATATCACATTTTTTTTGTCTTCAAATGTACATTGGGGAAGTCAAAAAGATAACAAATGAAATTAGCGTACTCAAAAAAAAAAAATTCCAAGAATTTGTCTTTATATTCATCAATTTATAATATATTTCTTTTAAAATATATATTTCGTATCTTTTTCTTAATTCTTTGGAGGGAAAAAAGGGTTGTGAGGAAATATTTTAGAAAAATGTGAAAAAGTGAATTAAAAAAAAAGATTATGTAAGAGAGTATATGAAAATGATTTCTTTTGTTCTATTTATATATTGCTATATTTTACTATTATGAAGTGTTATTAAATTCATTTTAAAAATCATTTATTTACAATGTTGCCATATCCTTTTGAACAAAAAATACAAATTGCAGTGAAGCAATAAGATGCTTTGTTTGGGGGGGGGGTCTTATATTAAAAAAAAAATCAATATAGTAAAAACCTTTTTGTAAAGGACAACACCTAGTTGCAGAGTCAGTGTCCTTTAAAAAGAGGGTCCTCTTGACAAAAAAAATTCCATCAGTGCAGTTTAATTTGCTAGTAATAGTGGCATTTAGTTGTTGCACACTTATTATGTTAACCTGAGGGTTGTTGCTTGTCATGAGAAGTTCACCAATGTTAGGTCTGATAAAAAAAATCTACGAAATTACGGAGAGGTGAAGGCAAGGAGCTCTATTCGTCAAAAGTTGCATAGGAGAACCAAACTGCATATCACCTTTTTAATCATTTGAGTATAGATTGTAATGCTGGTGGATCCCATTAGATGGAAATGTTCACATGGTCCACTATGACATGAAGGAATGTCTGTGAGTTTCCTTATTTTGAGAATCCAAAAATAGTATCTAGTGACATATCAATGTTACAGAAAAATCCTGCATATTCATTTGTATGTGGTCTTTTTACATTAAGGTTTTCAAATTCCTTATGTGAATTTTAACTTGTTACCTTTCTAAGGTACAATTTGGATTATAAATTAGAGGCACCAGCTAGATTTGAACTCAAAATCTCCTGTTTACTAGACAGGCGCCTTAACCAACTAAGCCAAGGTGCAACTTAGTCTTGTTACCTTATGCAACTTGTTACCATGCAATTTGCATCTATTAATCCAAATTTTTTGTCCTAATATAAATATATTTTATATAACAATTTTTTTTTTTTTTATGATTTTAAAATGTTTAGGGAATTTTTTTGTTCGACTACTTTTTTTTTTTTTCTATTTTCAATGAAAAATTCATTTAGTTAAAAAAACAACAGATGTGGCAACATTGTCAATAACAAAAGTCAAAATACAAAAAGAAAAATTGTGTTTACAATGTATTTATATAAAAATAATCAATTTTCAGACTAATTTTTTAAAAAATCTTATTTTTTTCTATATATATATATATATATATATATAATTTATATATATATTATTTTACAATTTATTATATAATTACCCATCCAATTAGTAATTTTTACACAGAGTAGACAATATATATAATTTTGTTAAAGTTTTTTTTATACAAAAATAGTTTGGAGTGCACTAAAAAGATATTTAGAGAAACATAGGTATAAAGGTTTATAAATGTTGGAACAGAAAGAAAAATGAAAGGAACCTCTATGTAGTGTTACAGATGTTGCTAAAAAAGAGGGTTACAAGGGGTCAGTAGAGGAGTGGTTGTAAACCATTGGTTTTCGACTGCTAAGACCCTGGATCAAATCCCACATTGGGCACTTTTTTTTTCTAATTAAAAAAATGCTCCAATGGCCCCCGATTCTTGCAAAAGTCCAACCCCACCAGCAAGTGCAAGTAACCAAACAGGGTTCTGGGATATTTGTAAGTGCAAAAGTCAAATTGCTTTTCACATGTGTAGACATGTGGTGAACTTACAGTAAAAGTAGTCGACAACTTCTACCCACCATGATTATCATGGCCTGTACCATGTGTATTAGGGATAATAATGAAAAAAAAAGGGGGGTAACAGTATCTAGTTTTTATCAGGTCGTTGTCCCCTATAACCATTTCACAGCCATACATACATACTAGCATGTGCTGTTAGCCAGTGACAGTACCATAGGAGTAAACTTTCCCCAAGGAGTCCCAACATTAGTTTCCCAACAGTTTTTATCTCCAATAAAAGCCTTTGTATTGAAAAAAAAAAATAAAAATCACAATACACAGCCATTTACAAAACTGAGTATTAACGTTTATCCCCCCCTGATACAGTAGAACCTCCATGAGAGGATACTCCTGCTAGAAGAAAACTCTCTACAAAGAATTTTTTTTCATTTGCCAAAAAATTACTATTTTTTAATCAAAAGACTATACTCTCCAGTAAAAGGACATCTCTCCCTAAAGGACACTTATATTCTACATCTAAGTGTTGTCTTTTACAGAGAGGTAGTTCTATTGTAGAAACTCTCCAGTAAGAGAACACCTCTCCCTAAAGGACACTTTGACTCTATATCTAGGTGTTGTTCTTTACAGAGAGGTAGGATCAAATATAATTAAAATGTAATGATTAGATACAGTTTGGATTATAGATTAGAAAGACAAGATAAATAAGACCAAATCCAAATAAATAGTGTGCAACACTTCGATAACAGTGTTGTTACCAAAACATCACGAATTATTTTTGGATTTGGTCTTATTACCTTGTGATTAAAATGCAATAAAGAATGTACCAGAAGAGAATAAATATTAGATCTCAAGATCACACAAAAGAGAGCTATAAGCCCATGAGGAAAGGTACATCACATGCCAGTTAGCAAGTGACTCTGATGATCATATCCCACACAGACATGTGATTAGCATGGTAAGATACAAGAAAATAAGACCTAATCCAAATAATTTATTAATGTGCGACGTTTCGGCAACAGTATTGTCACCATCATCAGACAAAAGAATAAATGAGAAAAAATATCACAGCAAGTTCTTAATTAGTACTGTTAGTAGTACTTTTTTCTCATTTATTCTTTTGTCTGATGATGGTGACAATGTTGTTGCCGAAATGTCACACACTAATAAATTATTTGGATTAGGTCTTATTTTCTTGTACAGTAGAACTTGGATAATTCGAACTTCTTTAATTCGAAAACTTCTTTAATTCGAATATTTATCTTGGTCCCTAGAATTTCCTATATATATAATTTCCGTTTTTAATTCGAATTTTTGGATAATTCGAATTTTTTTATGGTCCCTTGGGGTTCGAATTATCCAAGTTCGACTGTATTATAATCTATAATCCAAATTGTGCTTTATCATAGCATGGTAAGAGTTTAAAATATCTTGACCCTTGACTAAAATTTTGTAGTCTTAAGTTTTTTTTGTTGAAAAATGTAGATCCTTTTTTATTTCAAATGAGTTGATTTTACTGCATGTTTCAAAAAGAAACTAATCGAATGGACCTACACTTTAGGTTGAAACTTTAAAGTGGTATCACCGCCATATAGTGCCATCTCCAATATGAAGACCAACCATAATAGATTGCCATTTCATCCCTATACCTCTTCATAGCTTCCATTATGTAATGATTCTGTTACAGTAGAACTATCTCAACTCCGCCTTTTCCGGTCCCAAGCCCGGATGAAAAAGGAGGAGGGGGAGCAGTAGCAAGCTCACTAAAAAACCTGGGCTCAGCTGGCCCGGCTGATAGTACCCTGTAAGGGCTCCTAATCCAGGGATACAGGATGAGCAGCGTTTGTACTCCATGTTAGGAGCGGCTGCACATGGCGTCTGTTCCTCATGTCAGAGGCAGCCATTTATTTTGGAGCTAAGTCAGCCTGCTACTGAGTAGTGCTCTCAGTCTTAATGACAAAGGCAGACGCATTCTACTTCACCCAGTCATGGTGGTTGTCAAACAGACACCATCAAGGGTCACAACTTGATACCCTAATATGATTGAGTGGAGATAAGAAAGAAGAAGAAGAAGAAGAAGAGAACTATCTCTCTGTAAAGGACAACACCTAATAGCAGAGCTAAAATGTCCTTTAGGTGTCCTCTTACTGGAGAGTTTGTTAAATAGTAAAAATATTGATATTGGTGATGAAAACTGCTTTTGTAGAGATGTGTCCTCTTAGAAGAGGACTAAATGGCAAAAATGGCAATTAGGGTGAACTCTCCCAGCGGTTTCACCAGTTTACTCAACCCTATTTCCATATGCAGAAAAAAAAATAATAAAGCAGCATCATTAAACAATTTTCTACTGCCCTCTCTCTCAGGCAGTACAATATTATTTAATTTTTAATACGTGTCTAAAATAAAGTGTCAATTTCTTAAAACAGACAGCGTGCAAATACATCATATAATGCAACATCTGTAGCCAGGTCCTTATCATTGCAGTAAGAGCAGTAAACACAAGGTAATAACACCAAATCCAAATAAATAAATAGTGTGTGACGTTTCGGTAACAGCATTGTTACCATCTTCAGAATCTGAAGATCTACCATCAGAAGATAGTAACAATGCTGTTACCAAAACGTCACACACACTATTTATTTATTTGGATTTGGTCTTATTACCTTGTGTTTATAATCTACTAGCCAAATGACCTGGGCAACGCCCGTGTTTTACCCGATTGAATGTTTTGATTCAAATACTATTTGTTACAATTATAAATTGGCGCCTTAAATAAATGCATATGTTAGTTAATAACTATAGCCTATGTGCTTTATCTGTCTATGTACTGTTGGCTTCCGTAGGCGTCTCTTACTGGGAAAAAGAAAGATAGGATTCCATTTGGTTATTATCTAATATATGCATTTATTTAGGAAGCGACCCGCTCCAACACAATAGTTACAAAGACGAAATAGCGAGTGGGGGGGGGGGGGCAAAGGTGGCGTGACCGTAGCCAACCAATAGGAGGGCGCCATTCCAAAAAAAAAGCAAACGGTGACAGAGATGAAAACTGATGACTGATTGTTGATTAGGAGATGAGGAATGACGCTCGTAACTGTATATAGAATAATCAAAATTGTGCCTTATCAGTAAGAGCAATAGAAAATTGTTTCATTTTTTTAAAGAATTATAAGCATTCAAAAATAATTTCAATTTCTTAAAACAGATGCTAATGTATCATATAAAGCAACATCTGTAACACTCCATTATACAGTTCTCCTTAAAGAAACTAAACCCACAAAGAAACAAGAAAAAGAAGAAGAAACAACTGGATAAGTAAAAAAAAATTAGAAGAATCATTGGATAAGTAAGAAAAAAAAAACACCAAGAAGAATGGTTCACAGAGCTAACACCCAGCAGCGGTGTAACAATGGCAGGTATATAACAATGGTGTAACAATGAGATTGTAGAGAGACGACGGAGAAGAAGAGAGGAAGACAAAAGCCATTTGTTCATTCATCCATAAATTGGGTCGGTTCGGCCAGTGTTCAGCAAGACACATGAAAAACTAACACCAAACAAATGTGCTTTCATAAAAATAAAAAAACATCAAACAATATTAAAAATGACTATTTTAAAAGACTGTGTGAAAAAAAAGATGGAAAAACTACATCAAATATATACTCATGGACAAAACTTAAGGAAGTTTCCTATTTTGATGTCGCAGTTATTTTTCTAAAGAGACAGAGACAATTTTGTTCACACTTTGTTATCTCGTGTCTTCAATAAAGGTCATTATAATATCTTTCAAAGTTATTGTCTCAATCCCAATATACATTCTAAAAGGTACAACTTCCTTAAGTTTTATCCATGAGTATATTTATAAAATCACACAAAAAACACAATAAATCCAAAAATTTCAACAATATACAATTTTTAAAAATAATGATCAATTTCATATAACAAAGATATTTCTACAATTCAAAAAAATGGAAAATGATAAAAACACTTTTTAAAAAAATGATTCATAAAATCTATTATGTAAAAAGACAGTCTCAAGGAATTTAAAAAAGATGAAAGAGTTAAAAAAAAAGTTTCTTGTTTATCAAAAATGAAAAAAAAAAAAGAATAAAAAGTAGATACAAGGATGTGTTATAATAAAGAATGGATCATACCATTTTGCACAATCCATTTTGCACAATCGTGCAAATATTACAAGTATTTACAAGCTC